GCTAGAAATATAATAAATAAATTAATTAATAAATAATATCAAATTACTAATGTCAGGGGGTGTGGTTGGTTGAGATGAAACACTCTCAAAACTTTCTCTGGTAGTTGACGTTGACAAGTCCCTTCCTCTATAAGAACCATATCTATCAAAGTAAAATATAAAAACATGCAAAGTTCCAAAATTTCCTAAACTTTTTAGTTTTTGCTTCCTGACTCTTTGCCTCTCTACTCTCGATTGATTTAAGTTTCACTGATGGGAAGAGAGCAAGAGAAAGAACATTAAAGGATTTGGAGTGGATGGTCTTGTTCTACTTTTAAGTTCTTGGTTATCAATGAGTGCTGCTGTCAGTTGATCGTGAAGGTGCTCCATTTGTTGCTCATATACCACTTTATCTGCTTCATCCCATACTTTCTCTAATGTAGAAAGAGTATCCTCAGTCTTTTCATCACAGGCAGATAATCTGAAGGGAAGACATTTTAAAATGATTTTGAGGGGACTTGGTAAAAGCGGGGTGGGGATCGGGATGGGGAGCGGGATTTTATTGGTAAAAGCGGGGTGAGGATCTGAATATTGGGAGTCGCTTTTCATTGGTAAAAGCATGAGTAAAAGAAGGATCAGTGGGGATCGAGACCCAGGATCAAAATAATGAAGACAGGGACAAGTCTGCAACTGGCAATGCAAAGCTCTATAGATCTATATGAGTTCATTTTGCAAGCCTGGACAGTATTATTCTAAGCAGAAGACCTGCATGCATGAGTAGGCAGGCTCAGTTTGATTTATTTTTATGAAGTAGAAATTTTAATTCATAATATTTTTAATTCTTCACTGTAAAATATATTAGCATCTTTATGTGACATGCCACTTTAAAATGCTAAAACCATTACCATTGTCTAAAAATGTCATGGGCCTAGAATAAAAATAGTCAGTACTGAAATTTTCTATCTGACACCGGCAATACTGATTATAAATTGACTGCTAATGCCTTCCCATGGTGACATACTATCAAACTATCTCCAAACATGGTTTATTTTGTCAAGGTACAGAAATATTGTCACTATTATAGTATTCATCATAACAATAAACCATGTTCAGAGATAGTTTGAATCGTTCTGCAAAACAAGTGACTTTGATTAAACTATATTACGTAACTTACATTGAAATGTATGATGATTTGCAGTAAATAATGGCTCTTGAATACTAATGACATCAAAAAAAGTATTAAGTATTGCCGTTGCATTTACCTTGCAACACCAGGCCTTTACAAAATATGTAGTTGTAATATGTAATACAAAATATGTAGTTATCTATGGACAATCGCAGTACCCTCGCCTATACGCCTACGGCATGGGCAAGGGCAATGACAACCCAACTGCTTAGTACCCGCCTACGCGAGTCCAATGATGGCCCACCCTTTTACAATTACAAAAAAATTAGGCACCTTGTTTCCTTTGATTTTTGTTAATAACTAAATTATAACATATCTGTGCATGTGTAGTAGTTGACACTATTCATTCAGTACACAATACTACCGATATTGATACTCAAACTACTTGGTATGGGTATCGATTAAAAATTTCTTTGGTATCGTGATAGATATTAGGCTCACCCTAATATGGAAATATAATCAATCTAGATTACATGTATACATTATTTGTACATGCCCTCATTTTATAACACAAGTACATGTACTGTGTATACATGTTACAAAGGTGCATACTTACAGGGTGGCTGGTATCGCCCCACGTGGCCTGGCATGGTCCTTTAGCAGCGCAGCCACACCTGCTATAAAATAGAGAGCCGCACCTACTAGTAATTAGCCATCATGGGAG